AGGTACCCGCGCCTTGTGGTGTGGCCAAAATACAGTCGAGCAGTCCAGCCCAGATGCTTCGATATTGGTGTTGTCGTGCGATCCGCCAGCCATCCTTCTTTCCCAGCCTTTCGGTACGGTCGCACCCATGTGGTTTCCACGATGTGGGTCGTGCACTCCGAACTATTGGCTCGTATCAACCATCCATCGTACGACTCAACGTCCTGGCGAGTCGTTGTTCTGAAACCCAAGCTGCCAAGCTTATTTGCGGCGCCATCAGCGCTTCATGGTACCTCGCGGGACCAATTCGCATTCGGCAACACGATCGGAGACGAGACATGGGGATTCCATGTGCTACTGCAGCCTGTGGTCCGATTGCCATGTGGTCTGCGTCTTTTGCACTCGACACAACCTTTGCAGAAACAGCCCCGTTCCTGGCTTCCCAGCCTCCTCCGCATCCTGTCGTTTTTGAGGTCGAGGACGGCAGCCAAGCTCGGTTTATTCGGAGCTGACTTTACTACCCTGTAAATGGCTCTCTTAACGACAAGGTATCCATTTTGCCAATGAGGTCTGGGACGGCGTTTTGGGGAAACAAGCTTAAACCGATCGTGGTACCCTGGTCCGACACTAGACCCAACCTTCCTGACATACATGCCATTCTGCCGCACTGCAGCCAGCCAGACGTCGTGTCCGGCCCGTATATCCCCACTTCTCATGGCATGACACCTCGTTGAAGGCGTCGGCATCTTCACCCGTTCGAGCTGTGTTCTTCAAGAAAAGGGCAACGATTCCTTTCAGGATCAGCGGGCTTTTTCTTGGACTTTGCGGGGAAGCTTGAAATGCTACGAAGTCCAGGTTTGACGTCCAGCCGTTGCGCCGCGGTTGGATTTCCGGACCTGCGTCGCTCTATGCGGTGTCACCAAGTATCCTGTAGGTGATACTTTTGGCGCCGTCCACCTTGTCATCTGGGTGGGAAGGCTAAGGTAGGGGTAGGCTGAGGCTTAAGATATAAGAACCATCCGAGGGGAACTCAATTGGGCAACCAGCGATATCCCACCAGCTCCACAGTCGTTCCAGCTCCTAAGCATAGGTCTCTTTCAAAAGCAACTTCAACCACTCAAATTCTGTACTCAAAACTCCTTCCAATATGAAGACCCAGTCTCTCGCTCTCGTATTCTCCTTGGCAACGTTCGCGTATGCTCAGGACATATCAGACTTGCCAAGCTGTTCGGTATGTACTTCAGATCTCCGCAAGGAAGAGCAATGATCAGTGAGCTAACTATCTGAAAGCTGAACTGCTTCATCACCACCCTCAGCGGTGATGGCTGCAGCTCCCTGACCGACTTCGCCTGCCACTGCAAGAAAAGCGGTCTAGTCAGCTCCATCACGCCCTGCGTCGAGGCAGCTTGCTCCGTCGCCGACCAAGAAAGTAAGTCGCGCCACCAGCATTAACCCCAATTATCTCTATCACTTCTTCATCTCCATTCTCTCTACTTACACCTTCGACAGCTGTCATCAAGCAGGTTGAAGTAATCTGCAAATCCGAAGGTGTCACTCTGTCCATCCCGCCTCTTTCCACTCCCGCTGCCTCCTCTACCTCCTCTGCAACTTCGACTCCTGCGTCCTCATCTGCTGCTGCTACTTCTACTGTTGCTGCGTCAAGCTCTGCCGCGGCGTCGAGCAGCGCTGTTGTTAGTACGCCTGTCAGCACGCCCAGCAGTGCCGTTGCTACTTCTGCGACGCCGACGCCTTCTGCTTACGAGGGCGCTGGAAGCAAGATCAGTATTGTGGGCGGCGTCTTCGGTGCTGTTGTTGCCGCGGGCGTGGCGGTGGTTGGGTTGTAGATGAAGCATTGTCTTGCCTGAAAAATAAGGGATAATAGGTCAAAACTTGGACGACTTGCTGAAGGTTGTAATTGGGATAATTATCTTGGGACTGTCTGTAATCACAACATGAAGTAAGAAACATTGTGATTTGCATTTATTAAGTATTGCCATTGGGTGAGGAAGAGGCCACAATATTGCCACAATATTACCCCATTCTGGCTTTGTTGGACCCACAAGCATGCTCACAATCCTAAATACGAATAAAAACAAAACGCAGCCAAAACGCGCAGATATTAATGCAAACATAGCGTCCAGAGTACCGATCACCGACCAATCCTCCACCTACTTCTGTTCATCCAGCTTTCCCGCTCGTCTAGCTTTCTCCAGCTGGACTTCCTTGTTCTGCTTCTTGGCGACCAGATCCGCCCTCCCCTTTTCGCTTTGCCTGTAATTCAGCGTCCTCATCGAAGCCAACAACTCCGCTCTCAACTCATCCTCGTTCCGCCCCTGTGAGTCAATGCTGACCTTTACCATGGCAGCCGTGCCCTGTTCATCCTTCTTCTTATACGCTCGCGACAGAGCCATGCCTACTTCCTCCAACCACGCCTGCTTCTCGACGCCGAAATGGCCGGTCGGCAAATCCTTCTCCTCAACATCCCAAACCGGGTTGGGGAAGCGGTCCTTCAGCGTCTTAGACATTGTGGTGTTGAGCCATTGCTCTCCGAACTTTTTGTCTTGGATTTTTTTAATGACCGCGGCCGTGTCGGCATCGTCTTTCCAGTTGGGCAGCGGGAACATGGGGGCCCTAGAGATCTCGCTGGGATCGGGGCGTTTGGCATGGACGCCGGTTTGGGAGTCTGGAGGAATGTTAGCATCATCCCTTTTCTGTTGCTTCATTGTTGATTATGGATCGTTGGGGAAGTGCAGACATACTCCTAGCCAGCATCGCTTCGATGTTGTTGCTTGCCACTGTCCGCGTAAAACGCGTCTCGCCATGTTCCCAGCTGTTGGGGTGCTCCGCATACCACGTCTCTCCCCAAGGCGAGACTCGCTCTTTCTCAATCTCCTTCCTCTTCCCCTTGGACTCGCGATGGATCACTTTCTTCTTGTAATCTTCCGACCCGACCCAGTCCGTGAACTTCTCTAGCGTAGTCCTGGGGCGTCCATCGCCAGTGTCTTTGGGGGGTGCAGTGTATCTCGGTTTGTGAACTCTGCGAGGTGCACGTTCTATGGGCTTGGGAGGTGCAGGCGGTGGGGGACGTACAATGCGGCCTGGAGGACGTTGACCGCCTGATTTAATAGTTCGCCCAGGGCGAGGTTTAGTGACGCGTCCAGTCTTAACGGTCGAGGGCGGGGTCGGAGGCGGGTTAATGACCACCTGTGGGTGCGTGGGCTTCTTAGGAGTCTGCGGGTCTGGGGCTTTTGGCGGCATCTTGTGAGAGAAATAGATGGGTGGAGCTAGCGGTCGAGGAATCTCTACTGGTTTGTCGAGGAGTTGGGGGGACGGGTAGTGGTCAGTGAAATGATGAAGGATATTAGAGAAGGAAAGATCAATGCCACAAGGAAGCGCTTTGTTAATTCGAGCGATGAGTCGTTGCAAACATCTATTGTGGATTTGTGAAGTGGTCAGAACTTCCGGATTGGGAAATTGGCTTTGTTGCTGTTGCTTGGCGTGGCGACGGCAACTCATTTTCCTGAGACCCCCTTTGTTTCTTTCGTACCTTGCGCCTTTGCTAGTCTCTTGCGGCATGCAAACAGGATGCGTAGCCGGGATAGAATTGAGAACTAAGTTGTCGGTGTAGGACTATGTATGTGCTTGAGTGATTCTCATAGGACCAGACGATTTCTTGGCCCATCATTTTCCCATAACAACCAACCCAACTTCCACAAGGCTCAATCTCTTGCACCTTTACGACTCAGGCGTTAGGTATGTCATACGTGAGCTTGATCAAATAACAGTAGAAATTGAAATTCCTACCTTGCTTACCAAGACCATTTGATTAAATGTGCTCACTGAGTAAATCTGTACACCAAAATCTTTCAAACGTCCCCCAAAATTTGATTCTGTATCCAGCTGTATGGAACCTGTAACAATACTTAAATCCATCTGGAGCATACCCGAGTAGCTCTAGGACACCCACCTTCAAAAACCAATAAGCTCGCCGATTGAGATCAAATCTCCAATCTACCTAACTTATCCCAAGATTTGCACCTGCAGAGAAGAAGCAGAAATCTCCTACTCAAAAGAAAGGCACGGCGATAGCGGTACGATCAAGTAGTCTCCTCCTGACTGGAATAGTGAATCATTACAGCGGTGGATTCTTCTGTGGACTCCTCTGATAAACATCCCATCAGCTCAATCAAGTCCGCTACGGAGTACATTCTCTTCGACGACGAGAAGCGTCCTAGAAAGTGTGCTGACATAGGAGATTTCGCAACATCAGCTCTCATCTGAAGATCTCAAACTGAAGCTGGTGCATAGATGGATGAACTCCGACCTAAGAGCTGGAGCTTGTGCAACGTAAGCCGCGTTCTTTCTCTGCATGGAACTCGATGGCATGTCAAAAGCCGCTACACACCTCGTCGAGCCTGAGAGTGACTGTATATGTTCTAAATTTCTTAAGTTGATCATCACATACGACCATAGGTCACAGAATATTGGGCATCCCGTCCGCTCTGCCATACACAAGCTGTGAACCGGCTGATTAGTAGTTAAGTGGGTGACCATTAGCGAATACCAGCTGTTGTATGTTTTTATTTTTGCCGAATGTTTTGGTTCGGTGAAATACTCGGGTGAGGTTGAGATTTTTAGGTCCACCATTGCAGCTCGGGCCGGATGGGGATCTTGGCTTCAGCTCGGGAGGCTGGGTTTTTGAGGTTGCAGATGAGGTATATGGGAGAGGTTGGAGAGTAGTGGTCGAGATGTGTGGAAAAGTGAAAAAGTGAATGAATATTCGTCTGACCTTGACGCTCATTTTTTCTTCCAGATGTTTTTTGATGGGATGTTCCCCATCACTGAAACTCATTTCTCTGCAGTAAAACGTGTATCAGACACGAAAAGAAAGGCAAGAAAAGGCAAACATACACAAACATGCAGCAAGGATCCTATCTCACTGCAATCACTCCCAAACCGTCATGGAGGAAGTAAGAGATTTCACAATATAGAATTATTAGTCGGAGCTCTCTTCAACAATAGGTGACGTGGCCGAGTGGTTATGGCGCTAGTTTCAGGTTGTTATCAATCTACTAGTGGGAAACCGCGTGAGTTCGAGTCTCACCGTCATCAATATGTCTTTTTGATCTTCTTCGCGATGGTGGTAAGGGACGTGGGAGAGCGAAGAAGTGGAGTTTGCTTTTTGGATGCAGATTTGATGTTGTAGTGGGGAAGTCAGACGGCGAATTGATCGGGACAATCTGCAGTGTCGTAAGCGAGCTTGACTTTCTGACTCCTATCAGAGGACTTCAGTGGAAAATGTTGCCTGCCAGCAGAACGCTGGTGATCATTACGCAGAGAAAAAGAAAGTAAGCTTTGGTTCTTAATGGGACTTTTTTTCACCCTCCCTTCTTTGCCCAAGACGATTGGATGAGAGAGAAGTACGAGCAAGGGATGGACATAATAAAATGAATTGGAGTCAGTGAGAACAGGCTTTGATCTCCGAAGTGCTATTGCTCTTCTTCGGACGATAGATTTGACTTCATTGAAAGCTGCAGAAGACAAAGTCGGTTACTTTGAGACCTTGAAACCTTGAAAGCCGTGCCATCACCGCGGAGCCGCGAGTGCATTGTCCACAATGAGCTCCGGGATACCGGTATTGATGATCATTGGCGTGCAACTGACTCGGTGACTCTTCTCGCGAGTGTTGGGTGCCCTGACCGGCCGTTGTGAAGACGGTTGACCGTTCAGCCTGTGAAGCCTGAGAAGAGAAGCGTTATCGGGAATTCGAGTTCCTTTGAAAGAGCCGGGAGATGCAAGGAAGCGGTCCAGATGCTCTGTGTAGCTCCAACTGCGGGTGCAACGCCGCAGGTGTCAATGTCAATGCAAGGTCCCGGACTCTCGCACGAGATAACTTAGGGGTGTGAGACTCCGCAGTGTCAGCAAGCGCCTGGTCGAGGATATCAAGATGGCGGCAAAACAGTCAGCAATAGTTTGATGTCCCTTTGACTGTTAACGCGCGATTGAGCAGCCAATGGTGGGTGGTGGGTGGTGGGTGGTGGCAGTTGAAGGCGAGACAAAGACGGCGGCGGCAGCGGAAGGGTCGAGGGCCGTCCCGTCCGTCTTTGTTGCTGTGGCCCGCAACCGCCCCCATGCTCTCTCTCTGCTCCTCGAATCCACCGTCGCATCTCACGCTGCCCAGTCGCCCAAGTCGCCCAAGTCGCCCAGTCCACTCACAGTTCCACAATCATAGCCGCCTCTCAGCCCTAAAATAGCAAGTCCTGCAGCTTATCCCGCCCTTCCTTTCTCGCCTCCATCTCGCGACTCCGCAGAAGCCTCCATGTCGCCAAAGACTCCTCCGTCCGTGACCGTCTCGACATCCTCCATGCTTCCTTCGCCCTGCCAGTGCCTCTCCTCTACATCTGCCATACCCACTGAATGGCGGTCGTCGGTCGGGTCACCGCGTTGACCGCGACTCTGTCGCTCTGCCTCTCTCAGCTTGCCTCCGCCGCCAACTCCTCCAACACCCCCGCCCCCATAGCTTTAGTCCCTAGTCAGTTTTGGTAGGAATCCCAGTGCGTGTGCTCTTGTCTACCGATCTGTCTCTGATGTCGCGACAAGGGATGGAAACGATGGGCCATGGTCAACCTTTGGCATCAACATCGGCACTCCCGCCCAGGCCGTTCGCATGCTCCCAGCGACGGGCCAATCCGCCTCGTGGCCCGTACTGCCGGACGGATGCACGTCTCTTAGCAGCGACCTCGACTTTACAACATGCAACAACGATCGCGGGAAGGTTTTCTACGTGAACAAGTCATCGAGCTGGCAAGAGGAGGGCATCTACGAGCTGAACACGCTCTATGTCGAGAACCAGCTCGGCCTCGGCGAGGATGCGCGAGGGGAATACGGGTACGATACTGTGGGACTGGCCTGGAGCGGAGAGGGTCTGCCTTCGTTGGAGAATATGGTCGTCGGTGGCATTGCCGACCCCTTCTCGTGGGAGGGCTCCTTCCCTCTCAGTCCCAGAGGCGTCAACTTTACCGACCTCAATGATCCTAAACCGACCATCTTGCACACGTTGCGCAATGAAACATATATTCCGAGTACCTCGTGGAGCTATACCGCCGGAGCTTACAATGTCGTCCCCAAGGCGTATGGTAGTCTGACGCTGGGAGGTTACGACACCACGCGATTCGAGGCAAACGACATCACGATCCCTTTCGGGTCTGACATATCCCGAGACTTACTGCTAGCCGTTCAGTCCGTCTCGACCAACCTGACAGATACCCCTCTCATGTCAACGGCAAACTATTGGTACATTGACTCCCTCGTTGCGTCAATGTGGTTTCCAGAAGACGTATGCACCGCCTTCGAAGACGCCTTTGGCATTGTCTGGGACTCTGAAAACTCCATCTACCTAATCAACGACACCCAGCACGAGACCCTCACAAACCAAAACCCCAGCCTAACCTTCACCATCAGCGCCAACACCACCGGCGCCTCCGTCAACATCACCATGCCATACTCCAGTCTCGCCCTCAACGCCAGCTACCCCGTCTACCCCAACTCAACCCGCTACTTCCCTCTCAAGCGCGCCGTCAACGACACTCAATACACCCTCGGCCGCGCCTTTCTCCAAAATGCCTACGTCATCACCGACTACGACCGCTCCAACTTTTCCGTACACCAAGCCCTCTTCCCCGACTCCTCCGTCTCCCAAAACCTCGTCTCCATAATTGCTCCCGGCGACGAAACTACCTCCACCAACGGCACCACTTCCACCTCAAGCGATTCTTCATCTTCTCTGAGCGGCGGCGCCATCGCCGGCATCGTCATCGGCGCCCTCTGTGCCCTCGCCCTCCTCGCACTCGCCTTCTTCCTCGTCCACCGCCGCAAACGCGCCCGCATCGCCGAAGCCGACTCGGCCGCCGCAGCCGCCGCGGCGCTCAAAGCATCTGGCTCCGAACTGGACGCCGGCCGTGACGGCCAGACCCGCGACTTTGGCGTCGAGCACAAGACGGAGCTCGAGGGCGGGCAGAACGCCAAGCACGAGATGGGCCAGGAGGGCGCGGTGCCGAGCGAGTTGTTTGGGCTCGAGGCGGGGAAGGTGTCGGAGATGGAGGCGGCGGTGAAGCGGCCCGTTTATGAGATGGATGCGGGGGAGGTGGTGGTGCCGGAGCTGGAGAGCGGGGAGAATACGGCTGCGAAGGCGGAGTTGGAGGGGAGTGCTGTGCAGAGGCCCGCGGCGAAGGAGACGGGTGGTGTTGCTGGGAGGGAGACGAGAGGATCTGGTTGATGGATGCCGTGCCTGTGTTTGATTGTGTTGCTATAATACTGATGTACTACGATATCGATGATACCCGTCCCATGTACCACACGCTGCTGACGTCCTGGTGCCTATGACAGTCAAAAATCTGAATTTGGTCCTGATTTACAAACGGATAAGTAAAAGCGGCCTTGACAAAGACTCCGCAAGCGTGCGTGGAGGAGAACGACCTGATGCAGTTCAAAATTGCCCAGACGGTATACTGTATCGTAAAAGATTGTGGATCATGTTGTGCACCCTCTCGTCCCAGGGCTCAATCCAGCATGTCGAGTCAAAATCTGTGAGCAGACATATTTTCTTTCGATCTCAAAACGCTTCCAACAGTTCGATGCACTCTCCTCTGCCAGTGCGGCGACGTTGAACTCAATGGGACGACGATTAATTCTTCTTTTCGGATTTCCTTCCGGCCTGCCTTGGACCCACCCCCCCCAAAACTACGGATTCAAATGTTGCGCCGTCGAAACCCATCCAATCTCGCGTGGAAGCTTCATACGGACCTTTTGACCCGTTTTCCACCCGTCTGCCAAGTTCGAGCTCAATCAGAGCACTTTGCTTTTTTGTTTACATCAATCTCGGGAGTGGAATTGTGTAGGTGGAGTATGTTGTCACTGGGTAGCGGGTGGGAAAGGGCACGTGGGGGGAGTGGAAGAGACGTCTCTGCTCCGATCATTTCTAAACTTTTTGTACAAGTTTCTTGGTTTGGTAGGGTAGCGAGTGAGTCAAGTATGGCGACTTGGAAATTTGCTCCAATTGCATGGGGAATTTATGTGTAGGTTCTTTTTTCCCGCTCGTTTCAATATGGATGCCAAGTTTGGGCTTGATTAGATAAGTTTGAATGTCGAGGCATACGAGTCAATCGAAGTATGTAAAGAGCTTTTGGTGATTGAGAAAAGACACACTGCACCAATTAGCGAATATGCATGGAATTTGGTACTACTCAAGTCTGGAGATGTCGGATGCTAACCATCAGTACCTACAAGCGCGTCTTCCACAACACAAACATGTAAAACCTCCACTCACCTACGCCGCAAGTGGCAAATCATCAAACTCCTTCCTCAAAAACACCCTCGCCTTCTCCAACCCCTCCTTCAACAAACCCGTCTCACATGCAAATCCAACCCTCGCAAAACCCCCAAACCTCTCCCCAAAGCACTCATCCCCCGGCACAAACAGCACCCCCGTCTTCTTCAACAGCGCCTTACAAAACGCCACAGCATCCACATTCTTACCTTCCCGATGGAACCTTACAAACGCCGTCGTCCCCGCCACCGGCTTCACCCACTCGGCGATATCATCATGTTTGATGATGAATTTCTCCAGAATCTCGAGATTGGTCCGGGCGAGGTTGATGTTGCGGGCGAGGAGCGCGTGGATGGTGTTGGAGTCGAGTGCGCGCGCGGCAATCTGCTCGTCGAGTTGGGAGACACTGATGGTGGTGTAGTGGCGCATTGCGGCGCACTTTTCGATGATGGCCGGCGAGCGCGATGCTATCCAACCCACACGGATGCCGGCGAGACTGTAGGCTTTGGACAAGGAGCCTGTGGCGATGGCGTGGGGGTAGCCCATGCTGAGGATGGAGGGCGGAAAGGCTTTGTCGAGGGGGGAGATGGAGTGGAAGATGGGGCGGTAGACTTCGTCAGAGAGGATGGTGATGGGTGGAGAGTGGGAGGCGGCGAGGTCGATGATTTCTTGGAGGAGGGATTTGGGGAGGATGGCCCCGGTGGGGTTGTTGGGGTTGTTGATGACGATTAGTTTGGTGGTGGGTTGGATGAGGGCTTTGAGGGTGGAGATGGAGGGGATCCAGTTT